TGCTGACCCCTACCACCGCCTGCCTCCTGCTGGTGGCTGGGGAACTGCACCTATGATCCCGCGTTCCAGGCCAGGAGCCCAGCTCACATGAGCGCCTCATACTTGAAGCCAAGCGCTTTCCTGGCCGGTGTGAGTTTCTGTCCTAAACCGCTATCACGCACCTCCTCCTGTCGCCAACCCCGACCTCCCTCCATGCGTGGCTAAGGCCCACCTCACTGCTGAGAAGTTAGCAGCTCCTACTGGGGAATCGCCCTGTCCTCCAGATCTGCCCTTCCTGGCCCCTGAAGGATAAGACCCTTCTCCTGCACCCCAGGCCTGTCCCTGCACCTTCTGAGTGCAGACCCCAAGGCCTTCCTCCTGCTCGGCTGCACGTTTCTCCTCACCCTCTCCACTGAACCCTTTCCATTTTGGAACATTTCCATCTCTGAAACCTCCCCCTGAACCCACATTCTCCCAACTACTGCCCATTCTTGGCCCTCTCTCCTGAGCCAAGCCTGTGGAGGAGTTGTCTACACTGGCTGTCTTTGCGTGCCTTCCTGGCCTCACGCCGGTTCCCCTCTGCCTGCTGAAAACCGCTCCGCTGCCCGAATCTTGCTCTCTGGTGGCAGCTAGTGAGACTGGCCGTGCTGTCCTGGAAGCACTTCCCCTCTCGACATCCCTGACCCCCTCCTCCGGTTTCCTCTTCTTTCTGGCTGTGCTCTCTGTCTGGGTCTCCTTCCCCTCTGACCTGACATGTCCCAGACGCAGGTCCTCAGGGTTGTCCTGAGCCCTGTCCTCCGGCCAAGCTCTGGGTGACTGCCCTCTGCCCCGCCCTGGGCCAGCAGCTCCCAGCCCATCTCTCTGGCTAGGTGGGGCCTCTTCCTGAGTTCGGCTCATAGTCAAGGCCTGCCTGACAGACCTACTTCGAGATCTCCCCCAAATCCCAACTTTAACGTCTAGGACTGTGATTCCCTCCTACCTGCGTGTAGTGGGGGCTGGCAGGACCCCCCCCCCCCACACTCTCCTTTCTGTTT